AAATATCACTCACTGTAAGTTGCTGTGTGTCAGCTTCATCAAGGTAATTGTCCATGTATATTCATTTATCTCTGAGAAATGCAAGCTATGAATCACTGTATCTGGAAGACAAGTTTAAGGGCAAGGTGGTAACAAACAATTTTACAGTAATTGCTCTGGCATTTTCTCAATTATGTGACTGTAAGATAATTCTGAAATATAAATGCATTAAAGATGGAGGGGGAAAACAGATGATCTTGCATGTCAGTAAATATAGTGTATCTTCTGTGAAAGAACACCATTAAGAGGCTTGCTTCACTGATTACAAGTGAATATTTGAGTTACTCAGCATATTTCATTCTTAATACGAAGCAATGATAGGCCAGAAATGAGATCAGTGAGAGGCATACTGTGCCCTTCATAGGGAATAGAAATGTATTATGCATGTTCAGTGAAGGCCCAAAGTTGATATTGGGGTTTTTTTTACATATGTGAGACAAAATATTATCTCTTACAAACAAATTTTAATTGATTTATAAGAAATAAAACATAATAAAATAAAAACTGTGGTTTAAGTATCCAGCCACATGTGCTCTAATGACAGTTTTACTGTTAAAAATCCATTTGTTTAAAACCCTAGCTGTTGGTCCTCTGTAGCTATTATTTCATTGTGGAGATAAATCATTTCTGTGCTTTGATATGTATTTGTATTTGTGACTTTTCTTTCTTCAGATAGTTCAACCGCATTCTGTTGCAATATCAGGGGAAAAAAAAAAATCTTGAAAAGTTACCTAATCTTTGAAGGTGAATAAATCAGGTGTCATTTCTATTAGGAAGAAGTATACATAAGCATCTGCTTGTTTATATATTTCACTAAATATAGGGTTTTTTCATTTGTCAGGATTTGTCTTCAGTGAATCTGAATCAACTGCATTAGAACAATTTGAAGGTGGCCCTTGTGCAGTGATTGCACCTGTACAGGTAAGATGCATTTATCATAGAAATGGTTCAGAATTACTAAGCCCAAAGTTTGTTCTTTTCTCTATATAAGTGGAACTAAGTTAAATATTTTAAAAATTGCAGATCAGTTGTATTTTGATTTCATAATTATAGCATGGAGGAGACAAAATCTTCAGTAAAAAGGCAGAGATGGGATGATTTTGAACTATAATTTTGCAGAAGTGGAGTTGTTTCAGGAACTTTGGCAGGTTGATCCAAGCAGAGGTAACTTAAAAGTGGAATGCAGGATAAAGGGGAGAAGTAAAAGATCAGATACAAATGTAATCCTTTCTCATCTCTTATCCCTGTCCTTAAGAAGGGTAGCATCTGTGTCACAATGTGTCCTTTAGCAAACTGTATTAGAAATATTTGAAGTAATTGATTTCCAAACCTAACAAGGTTTTCTATGTGAGAAAAGGAGAAATGTTACACTTGCAAAGTCGTAGCTAGCAGAATAATTGAAGTATGTCAGGTGAATCTATTTTATTCTGCGTATGTGCTTAGGATTTCACTTGTGCTTCAGATACACTCAACCGTGATTGTGATTTTTTTTGTTTTCTTACTTCATTGTATCTTGTAGGCTATGTGCATACTCTTTGAAATGCTGTTTCTGGGGCAATTCTGACTGCTGTGTAGATATACAACCTGAAGGCTGGATCCGTTCTGCTAGAGCAGTTTGTCTAATCTGTGACTGCTCTTCATTCTCTGAGAAGCACCCTGTAGAGACAGGCAGACACTGAGTCATGGGCTAGATTACTTTTTTTGGTAACCTGCTCTTGACTCCTCTTACACACAGACCAAATTCTGCAGGTATGTCTAGGTCTGAGTTGAGGCTTTGTCCACTGATAGGGGACATACTAAAGCCGTGTAGCAGAGTTAATCTTCTCATGAACTGGGAGGTACCTGTGTCAGACAAGTCACATTGTGGAATTGTTTGCATCTCTGGTGTGTGTAATGTGATAGTCATAAAACCTCTGTTGTGGTTACTTCAAGACACTCTAAACACTGGTCCCACCAAAAGGCTTGTACCACAGGAAGGAACACCACTTGTTTAGGCTGTAAGAAATCAATAGAAAAACATTTTATTATGAATTGCACTCTGTAACATGGCTCTGTCTAGTTCTGTGGTCTTAAAACCAGATGTAGAGTGTCTGGTCTCTGATGTTAGAATTACAAGTCTTTTATTCGGTGGGAGTGGAGAGAGTAAAGAATAGGTCCAGCCAGCTCCTTAAAGGCAGTGCCAAGTCTTTACCATATCAGATGTTCTTATAGATAGTGTTTTTCCAGATTTATATGTAGTTCAACTTCCCTGAAATAAAATAGTTAAAGCATGTTTAAAAGTGAGCTGAGTTCCAGCTTGGGAAGGAGGAGGGGATCAGACAGATCTTGCAGTGCCTATTGCTGCTGTGAATTACTAAAAAAGGTGTGCGGAAGATCCATGACAAGACAACAGAGTGAGTCTGTCAGGGAAGGGGTGAAAGTTGAAGCAGCTGGTTTTTAGGTGCTGCAAATACTTGAAACAGCATCCAGTAAAGTAACTAGACCAAGAGTCTGCTTCCCAAAGTTTGTTCTTTCATTGTTCCTTCTCTGTAGCTTCGAACACTTTTTTTTTTTTTTTTTTTTTTTAATTGCAACATTACTGTTGATGGAAAACAAAGCCGGGATATGGAGATGCGTAGATTTTCTTTTATCTGATCTGTGAATTATGACTTGCAATAGTTAAGAGGTGTGCTTTTTAACTGCTAATAGAGTTGTCTTGTATTACTCAAAATATAGTCAAAATATATTGCGAAATATCTGTGCCTCCATTACAACAGTCCTGTGAATCTGGAATATGTTTATGTAAATATGCACTCTGTGGATTTGAAGTGTACTTGAGGTTCAAACTCAGTGATGTTGCATGTAGGTGTGAGGCCACCTTTATTGTTAGTTTGAATGGGAAAAATCAGTAAAGAGTGCAGGCTCAGTGTTTCTTACTGAACGATGAGCAGCTTGAAACCCTTCTGATAACATGCAAAAATGCTTTGGTGTAGAGCTTGTGACATGATGTAAAAGTTGGTGTTGTCTTGTATTTTAATATTATTTTATGCTTTGATAACAAAGGCATTCCTTTTGAAGAGGCTTTTTACCAGCGAAAAGTCTACTTGGAGAGACTGTCCAGGTACTGAGAACTCTTTTTTTCCTCTTTATTTTTTCTATTTTAATTATTTGTAGAGCACATCCTAGCACAAAATTTTAAAATATTTTACACTTTCTTTTTGTTTAAGTGTGTACCCATGCCATTTTAGGAGGCTCTGGTGGTGGGGTGACCTTGGCTGGATGCCCAGCAAAGCCGCTCTATCACTCGCCCTCCTCAACTGGACAGAGGAGAGAGAATATAAAGGCTTGTGGGTGGAGATAAGGACAGGGAGAGATCATTCACCAATTACCATCACAGGCAAAACAGACTTGACTTTGAAAAAGTAACTTAATTTATTGCCAATCAAATCAAAGTAGTGTAATAAGAAATAAAATAAATCTTAAAACATCTTCCCACCACCCCTCCCTTCTTCCTGGGCTCAACTTCACTCCCAGTTTTTCTTTACCTCCTCCCCTTCAGTAAAACAGGGGGATGAGGAATGGGGGTTGTGGTCAGTTCATCACGTCTCTGACACTCGTTGCTCCTCAGGGGGAGGACTCCTCACTTTCTCTGTTCCAGCATGGGGTCCCTCCCACAGGAGATAGTCCTTCACAAATGTCTCCAATGTGAGTCCTTCCCACAGGCTGCAGTTCTTCATGAACTGCTCCAGAGTAGTTCCCTCCCATGGGCTGAAGTCCTTCAGGAACAGACTGCTCCAGTGAGGGTCACCCTCAGGGTCACAAGTCCTGACAGCAAACCTGCTCCAGTGTGGGCTTTCTATAGGCTCACAGCCTCCTTCAGGCACATCCACCTGCTCCAGCATGGGGTCCTCCCCAAGCTGCAGGTGGGTATCTGCTCCACCATTAACCCCCCTGGGCTGCAGGTGGGTATCTGCTCCACCATTAACCTCCCTGGGCTGCAGGTGGGTATCTGCTCCACCATTAACGTCCCTGGGCTGCAGGGGCACAGCCTGCCTCACCATGGTCTACCCCACAGACTGCAGGGGAATCTCTGCTCCGCTGTTTGGAGCACCTCTTTAGCTGTCCTTGGTGTTTGCAGGGTTGTTTTTCTCACATATTCCCACTCCTCTTCCTGGCTGCAACTGCTCTCCTCCAGGTTGTTTTTTTCCCCTTCTTAAATATGTTACCCCAGAGGTGCTACCATCATCGCTGATGGGCTTGGCATTGGCCAGTGGCGGGTCCGTCCTGGAGCCAGCTGGCATTGGCTCTATCGGACGTAGGGGAAGCTTCTGGCAGCTTCTCACAGAAGCCACCCCTGTAGCCCCCACCGGCCCCAGCTACCAAAACCTTGCCATGCAAACCCAATACAGAGGCATACAGTATGTATACTACATGTCTCTAAACTCCCGTTTATTAGGTCCATGCCTGTCAATAGTACTTTTGTGTTTTATAAATATTTGATTGAAATCTATTATTAGGGAAGGGAATGGATTTGAAATCATAATAAAACACATTTTTCTAAAGACAGCTTTATAATTATTTGGTTCAGTATAGTCAAAGTGCAATTAATGTTAATAAGATAATTAATAAGATAAAATAATAAACTCAATTATTTAGGTAACTAATGTATAAAAAAGATACTAGTAGTTTATATAAGACACTGATTAGCAGCAATTGAACTCATCTAGGTTTCTGATCTTTCAGAAGAGGAGCAGAAGAATCTTCTCTGTCATACATTATGTGATATTTTGGAAATGGCTTGCTCTGATAATTCTGAGTCGTACTCTCTGGCAATGTGGATAAGAGGAAAAACAACTGAAGAAACTGCTAGTATTTCCGAGAGTCCTGCAGAATCTAGTCGTCAAGAGGAACAACCTTGTAAGATGTATTTCTATACTCTAAATTACCCATCACTTAGTGAAATATTATGTTTTTTTGAGGGAACACTGCTTTTTATTATTACATAGGTGGGGTTTTTGCCTTTATAATTCCATTAGCAACAGACAAATTTTTGTCTGTTGTAATTAGTGGCATTGATCATTTTTTTGTCGAAAAGAATGCTATCTGTCACTGGAGTTCTAACATATGTGTTTCTCTTGAATTTGAGAATTTCCATAATCTTTTCAATTTTATTTTGTAATTTACTGGGACCTGGTGGATAAATTAATTTGGAAAAATCTACATGCTTCCAAACACTGGAGGAATATTTTAACTTGTCACTTGTTGCTTTATTTCAGAAAAGCTTTTATAAAGCTTTATCTGTTGTAAAATATTCTACATCCCCTGTTACGGAAAAGTAGCCTTTTTCTCTTTGATTCTATGCAGTACCAACACAGCTTACGCAAATCACCTTCTAGTTAGCTTAACAGAATTTTTTTGTAGGTTAGAATTTTTCAGTTACTTGTTTTTTCCAAATGTCTCTATTTCTTCATTAATTACTGACATCAAGTATCCAGTGAACATCATCTGTTGCAGTAAGATATGGCATCCAGTCATATTTAACTGCTGTGGAGCCAGTGACGTGGAAAGTTTAGCTGTGCACCCATAATCACTGAGATGTGTATTTATTAATCTTTTAATAGGAGATATCTAATGTGTTAAAAGATAAACTTCTTTTAGTTTTTGTTCCCAATGTGTCTCTTAAGAAGTATGAAAAACTCTTCACATGAGAACCTGCTTATAAAGGTGCCATCTTTTGATGGAAGGAATATGCTATTCAGCGATTTGTGGCATAACTGCAAAGTAAGAATTGTAGAAGTAGATTTAGACATTTGTAGCTAGCTATAGCAGTTAGTAGTGCTGGAGCTCTTTATGTTACAAGTCATCTTTATCTGCTTCTATCAAATGCTCCATATGCTCCACGTGCTTTAGAAGGCTCAAACAATAATAATTAAAATGTTACTGAAGTGAAAAATCAGAAGGTCACCACATAAGAGTTCAAAGTGAGTGGTTATTTTTTATTAAGAAAAAGTATGCAGAAAGTTCCATCTACAGCTTTTCTGTTTTTTAAAAAAATAAATCTTCTTTGCAAAATAATAAGGCAATTATAACAATGAAATTCTTAATTTCAGTGGATTTTCCAGTTGTCTCTGAAGCTCTTGCTCATATAATGAAGTTTCCTTTGAAGAAGCGAAGCAGAGCCTACTTATTGATAGGCTTTTACTGTCCTGTTTATTAATATATCACCTTATTCTAAAGAACTTTTAACCGTAGAAAATATTCAACAGAAAGTCTTTTTGAACATACACTGAATATTTACTCTCAACACTGACAATAATCTGTTCTACTACATACCTACGTTTTTCATATTTCTGTAGAAGTTTACAAGTTCTGCCTGATTTGTCCTTAATGCCATGGAACGTGGTTAGGAAGAGCAGGGTACATTTACCATGAACGGTCTGTTTTTTTCATGAGCAACATTAATCTCTTTCATCGTTCATATTCTGTATTCCTGATAAGACACTGAATGTACCTCTTGTATGCAGTCTACAGTTCAAATAGTACTTTACCTTGTAGCTATATTGCAATGCACTTCCTGATTTAAGATATATTTGTTAGGGTTATTTTTTTTTTTCTGTGTTGGTATTTAAATATAGACCAGCTTCTTGCCTTGTTAGGCGTGGGACAAAAAGATGTGGAGAAGAAGGTATGGCTAATAGTGCAGAGTTCTGTTACTGGTAGTGCAAAGGAATACATTTATTTCTTGATGGTTGTTGTAATCAATAAAAATAGAAATAGGCATTGTCATAGTTGGTAGGACTTAAGAGATGAGTTACGTGTGTGGGAGAGTATTACAGATACAATTCTACATGGCAGGCTACTGCTATTTGGGAATTGAATATGGGAATATATTTATAATAAAACCATGACATATGATTAGACACAGCATGATAGAGTATCATTTTAAAGAGTTTCTATACAATTGTATTTCTCATACAGCTTATGTTCTATTGCTGTTTGCTCTTTTCCTCTCCACAAAGCACTGTCTCTATTTAGTCTTTTTTGGGTTATGTATAGCTACATTTCTCTTTAGGATTTCTACTTCTTTCCCTTTGTTTCAGATAGTAGTTCTCTTACCATTTCACTCCGTTCTGTAGTAACAGAATGAAACTGCCTATCATCCTGTTGTGTGAACAAAAGGTGGATTCGAGCACACTTACTGAATGCAATAGCATTTTTCATCTGCTTTTGTGGTGTATACCAGTGACTTGTTGTTGGCCATGCATTGGCTGTAGTAGTGCAAGTTCCCAGGTTCAAAGGCTGCTTTATATGACTTAGTCCCTCTAACTTTCTGCTTGCAAAAACATATGTTCTTGGAGCAGGGTTAGTTCCTGTAGCATTTTCTGCAATTTAGATTCATTGTTTTATATTTTTAAAAAAGTCTTAAAAATATATTTTCTTAAGTCTAGTTTTGCTCATGGTAACCTAATTTTAGTAATTCCTTGTAGTGTTTCAAAAGACAAAAAACTAACACTCTTAAGACTACTGCTGCCTTATTTCTGAAGTAGAAAATTAAAGTATTCTATTGCTGGAGAATCAGTTGTGTTTGCATGTAAGCTAATCAAGTGCATCTTTAAAAATTCAATCAGAAAGGGCATAAAAAGGCCTTTTGGGAATTCTTGTGGGAAGAATTGATTGGTAATATTAGCCCTAATGCCTTCAGGTCTTTAATGATATGTATGCAGTCAAATTAAGTAGCTAGATCATCAGACATTATTTAAATATTCAGCATTGTGGCCTTTATCAGAAAGCAGATCTGTCTGTTTTGTATATTTTGTACATTATTCTACTAGCGGGAAGATAAAGTCCTTACGAATGTTGAGGGCACTAAAGACTGCAACACTCTTAATATTTAAAAGCTTATAGAATTTGATAATTACACAACTGGCGAGTGTAATTTCCTGTTGGTAAAAGAAAATTTGATTTAAAAAGTTAGTTTCATATCCTTGGTTTGGAAATGTTGAGAGGGGAACAAAGGTATAAAGCCTGTGTTGAACTTGGGAAGACACTAATGCTGTATTTTTTTTCCGTCTTGGGTGCAACATTTATTTGAAAGGCTATTTATTCATTATTGAAAGAAAACAATGAGAATTTATTTTAAAATAGGATGTGTAGAATAATTCTACTCATTTTTTTGTAATAAATAAGTATTAAAAGGGAAAAATAAAGCAAACAAACAAAAAAATTCAGTAACAGAAATGTATATCTGAAGAAAAAATACAGCTTGCCTACATTGATAAAATGATCCAAATAATCATGCCTGCTGTTCTAGGAAATAATACTCTTGTTGACCTGCAAAATTATATCTATAGTATGCATATGCTTGATGACTCTGTGACAGCCATGTTTTGTATTAAATCAACAGCTTAGTATTGGACAAATATTTTCAAGGCTACACACTCCAGTGGCTTTGTGGTTTTAATAAATTGATTAGTCCAAATAGAAATGTTCTCACTAATTTGTATGGTAGAATCTTAATGTTGTGCTAAATTAGTTTATACTAATCAATTAAAAAATTTAAATGGCAAGGGAGGATTAAAAATTATAATTAAAGCTTGAAAGTATACTAGCTTGCTGTGTGTATCTTGTGTCATTTTTTTGCCATGTGTAGTGCTGAAAAGTGTCTCTTGTGTATAGCTGCCTTGGCTGTCGAAGAGCTTGGCTTTGAGCGATTTCATGCATTAATTCAGTAAGTAATATGTTGGAACATTTAAAATACAATATTTTGAAGTTACACTACAGTTCACAGCCCCGAAAGGGGTATGTTGAGGAACTTTTTGTGTGTTACACATCAGGTTCAACTTGGATTTCAAGTTTTGGTTTGGGGGTTTTGGTGGTTTTTCTTTGTATTTTACCATTTAAAATGGAATGTTATCTTGAGCATAAGCATTAGGCTTTAAAATAAAACTGGAGCAATGAAATGTGCAAAATTGGCTGAATAACTTGTGCATTTCGAGTATATGAACACAGCTAATTAAGATTCACATTTAGGTTAGAGATGTTAATGCTCGATATTTATACACAGTCTTCACAGGTGATTTTATCTGAAATACTTGTGATATATATACTGAAAAAAAATGGTCATCTAATATTTTTCCTGATTTGAGACAACATAAGAAACATTTATAGAAATGTTTCATACACAAACCTTGATTTTTTTGTTTCATACTTTAACTGTTCTCTTTTTGGGATGTAAATACAGCGCTTACAGTTTTGGTGAGTTTATCTTTAAAGGTAACAGCCTTTTATTTTCATAGTGAACAGTTGTAATCATACAAATAAATCCCCAAAGAGGAAATAAAGAGCAACAGAATTTCACATTACAGTTGAGATAGAAAATGTTTCTAATTAGAGCTGAAATAACTATTGATTATTGTATCAGTAGTAATTACAGTTTGTTCTTTAAAGCCATTCTCTTATGAGGAAAAAAAAAGAGAATATAATACTTTTGTAGCCTTCTCTGATCAAAACACTCATTTCGTGCCCTCCCCCTCCTTTCCACTCACCCCCTCAGTATTTGGACTTGTGGTGCCCACTTCAGTTTTTCTCAGTCTTTTTACCTGGAAATGAACACTCTGGCATATGCCTTTAGAGCAAGATGAGTGATGGATATCAGAACTAACTTTGCCTTGCATACCTTATATGCCCATGTATAGTCTCTTGATAATGAAAGGTAGTTTAAAAATCTCAAGTGTTAGCCAGAGTAAACCCATCTATGGATATATTTTTGCAGCTATTTGTTTCTTTTTTAAACGGAACTTATTACAAGTGTGCAAGAAATCAAAAAGAAAATAATATACCTAAGTTTGTGTAAGGTAAGCACAGGATATGATCTAGTTTGAATTACTCAATTAAAACTAATGTTTGTGTTCTGAAAAGCAGTATTTAGCTCTAAATATCCCAGGAAATAGAAAGTATATTACTTCACTGGAATATCAATGGATCTCTTTCTTTCCTCTGGTTTTATTTTACTTTTTTTCTTTTTAAACATATGATCACCTGGTGTTACCTTATCGTCCAGGTAGCAACCCTATCATCATACAACAAGATAGTTTCCCAAATGTTCATGTACTACTCTTGGTTTTGAACATTTTGTTTTTTCTGAAGCTGGAGTCTAATAAAATCAAATTCTCATGGGAAGTGTAATAATTACTTCAGAAGCTTGAAAGATAGTCTTAACTGGTTAAGTGGAAGGTTTTTTTCCTTCAGTTTATGGACTGAATATCTTTCAGAATTCTATATAATGCAAATGTTATTTTGGTGACATACAGCCTATTCGCAATTTCAGTGACTGTTTTCTAGAATTACTGGTTCAAGTCACTCAGCTCTTTCACAAGTGTGTGTAATTTTATGCTTAATGTATATAAAGTTAATTTTTGCACATTGCTCCAGAATGATTTATCTTCTTCTGATGGGTAAATACTAATGACTGTATGGCAGTTACAGTAACTCCAGAACAGCTGCTGTGTCATTTGTATATAACACCAGATATACTCTGTTGTTACTTGGACATTTTCATGTTACATATCAGTAGTTCTTGTTTGTGCTTTGTGACACTATTCTAATGCTTCATCTAAATCCATTCTCCTTTTCTGTTGGGTTTTTTTTTTCTTTAGCAAACGAGCATTCAAAAGCTTCCCTGAACTGAAGGATGCCATTTGGGATCAATATTCAGTGTGGACAAACAGATTTGGAGTATTGCTCTTTCTGTATTCTGTAATACTGACAAAGGTTTGTGGATTGTTTGATATTTTTGTGTGTGTGTGTTTTGTTTCTTTATTAAGAGAAAGTTTGATCACATGACCCTATTTCTGTAGAAGGTGAACACTGAACTGATAAACTACATCAAATCTAGATAAATGGGTGGAATGGTACCTTCATTCAAGTTGTAGTACATTTCCAGCATAAAAACTTGAAAAGTTGTCTGTTTTTTTGTTTCTTTGTTGAGGTTTGTTTTTTTTTTTTTTTTTTTTCCCACGTGATCTGGGAGAATTGCCAATTTTTGAAACATCCTTCCATGTATATTCCTAACATCTTTCATCCAGAGAAAGGGAGGTGTGTTTAGGTATCAATTCATACAAGAACATCAGCCTCCTAGTGTTTTACTACTGCATTCTGTTGTTGCAAATGTTGCAATTCATTCCTTAGAGATCAAAAATGTCTGTAACTTTTCTGCAGGGCATTGAAAACATAAAAAATGAAATTGAAGATGCAACTGAGCCATTGATAGATCCTGTTTATGGTCATGGAAGGTAAGCTGCAAAATATGGTTGCTACCACGTCACATAGATTTAGTGGGAAAATTTTTTATGTTTCTGTAACTGACCATTCTTTTAGGAAATGATTGACATTATGACAAAGATTGTAACTTTGTAATAGCTAAAAGCAACACTTCACATAGCTTGCTTTTTTCACTGCTAACCCCATTTAGTGCATCAGTTCTGAAGAAATGTTTCTGTTATTGCTTAATTTTGAGAGGAATAATTCTCAAATTCAGGGCTATATTTTTATATCAACTTGTTCGTTGAAAGAGTGCAGATAATATTAGCGTTGCTGAATTACAAATACATGCTAATCAAGGAATAGAATATTCCTTTATAGAAGGAAATTAGAGAATGTCTGCTTAGCTGTCCAGATAATACAATAATTTTTTAATTTGTTAGAGATAACTACATTTCAGAAAGAAATTGTATGTCACTTTTAATAGGCTATTTCTTTCTGTTACATAGCCAAAGTCTGATTAACCTCCTGTTGACGGGGCATGCTGTTTCTAACGTGTGGGATGGAGACAGAGAATGTTCAGGAATGAGTAAGTTGATTCTAGTTTATGCTTGTTCAGAATTTTTACATACTATAAGATGCTGACCTACAGATTTGGAATATGCTTTATTTCTCTTTTGATAGTCTCCTTGTTTACCGTCCTTTGATTTAAGCAGACCTCAAAAGGAAATAAAACATACTTGCACAAAATCTCTGATGGTAATATTGGTGAATACAGGATTGTTAGCTACAGGTTGCAATAATAAGGTACCTGATGACCAGGATGACAGAAGGGAGCACAGTCTCTGCAAGTGGGAAGGTTGGTCAGTACACTGGAGACAGGGTCACCATTCAGAGCAGCCACATCAGGCTAGAGAAAGGGACTGACAGGAATCTCTTGAAATTCACCAAAGGCAAATGCAAAGTCCAGCATCTGGGGTGGAATAAACCCGTGCAACAGTACCCAGCAGCACTGACTGCCTAGGAAGCAGCTTTTTAGAAAATGGCTCAAGGTCCCTGTGGGCAGTGAGTTGCACATGAGTCATCTGTGTGCTGTTGTGGCAAGGAAGACCAGCTGCATCTTGGGCTATGTTAGGAGGAGGATAGCCAGCAGGTGGAGGAAAGTGATGTTTCTTTCCCTCTATATGGCAGCTGTGGGATGACCACTGGAATGATGTGTCCAGTTTTGGGCTCCCCTGCACAGAAGATACATTGACATAGTAGAGTGAGTCCAGTGGAGGGCCACCATGATGACTAGGGGGCTTTTGTGGTTATTGCATTTCATCTTAGAAACAGAAGATGATCTGAAAGCAGGAACACTTTGAATTCTGAAGGTGCTCACATCCTCTCTCCCACTGCTACAAAGTCCATCTCAGGTTCATGAGCATGTATTTTACAAGGATTTTCCATCATCTAAGCCATCACTGAAAATATGGACTTGAACTGATGTTCAAGACAGATCCATGCAAGACCTGAGTCGAAATGCACTGGTTTGACTCCGAGCAAGTAGTATAATCTCCTTTGAGACTTTTTAGATTTCTACTTGATTATGATTCCATACAGGCAGTACTTCAGCATCAGACTTACCAGAATGTCATTTGGATATTATATCTAATTCTTCTCACCCCTATTGGTAGACTTCCTATCAGGGTGTTTAGATTGGATTATTGCTGTCTGTTATTGTTGAGCCTATACTGACTGCTTTTTTGATTTTTTTTTTTTTATTATTTTTTTTTTGTCCTTCCTACTGCATGCAAATTGATTACTAATTTGTTTCAAGACCTCTTGGATGTTACAATCATCCTTTTTCCTGCTTTTTTCCTCTAGCATTTTTTTTTTTCTTTGTTAGGGTAATTGCCAGGTTTTCCATTTTCTAGTCTCCTGGCACCTCCCTTATCTTTGATACATAAGGTAATAATGAGTCAGAGACCTAATTTGTCTAGCTACTTAAGAGGTATACAATGAATTTCATTAGGATCTGCCAGCTTGAACACATCTGTCTTTATTTACATTTTTTTATCCATTTTGGGGGTTTTTATGGATGACACCGTTATCTCATTGTTAATCTTCTTGTGTATACGACATCGTTTACTGTTCTGTGAATTAAAGCAAAGATGGCTTTGAATACTTGTATTTTCTTTGTATCATGTCATTTTGTATTTTATCAGACAATTCCTTCCCTGATTCATGCTGCATGTATAGAACATTGTTGTCATTTATCTGACCCCTTTAACTGAAATTTGTTCTAATTAGCCTTCCTGGTTTTATCCATATGTTCTCTTCAGTATTTTTAATTTTCTCTTTTGGATTTTTATGTTATGATTTATTAATCTGAATTGTTAGATTATGACCAATCAATCTGAGTTTTTCTTGTAGCTTTCTTTTACATTGGGATAATTTGCTGTTCTGCAATTTAATATATCTTTTTTGGAAATCTTGCAGTTCATTCCCTCATTTGTCTTTCAGATTATCTTTCTGGTCAGCCTTATTCATTAGTTATCCAAGTTGGAATTTTTTTCTTTTCTGAGAATACTGACCTCTCTTTGCACATAGTAATATTCCACATTTAGTTTCTCAGTCAATTCTACATGAAAAATCCAGAACCAGAACTCCTGTAGAAACATCTGTCTCATTTTGAGGGGAGAGGAGGAGCAGAAAATAATCCTTAGTACATTTTAAGAATCTGGTATTATGTGTCCTATTAGTGTTTCACCAGTTGAGTAATTGGATTTAACTACTGCTGGGAGCCCTCCATTTTCTTCAAGTCCTTGAGATAACTATAGTCAAAATCAGCTTAATCACTGTCACAAGTCTATAATCAGTATCTATTACAAAGTGATTTGTGTGACCTATCAATAAGAAGGACAAAGACCGACCTGTACTGTTCACAACTTCTTAGGCAAAACTGAATTTTGAGTACATTGTCACATTTCCTTTACCTATCAATCCTTTTTGTAATCTTTTTTCTCCTTCAGTCATTTCTCCTGTATTTTGACTCTCTTTGGGTGTAGCCTTCAGCTTCCTTTCTGCCAATTCTATGAGTTTCTCATGTAGACTGGTTGCAGGTGTCAAAATAACAAGAACTGAATGTGTTTGCTGACTGTTTTCTGAAGTTGGCTTTATGTACATTTTTCTGATTTGGTTACTGGTCACTTGTCTTTAACTCCTGTGGTCAAGCGACTACACGTAGGGAGGTTTGACATTAGTATTGTACAGAGTTGATTGCCAGTGCTGCTTGATTTTTCCATGTGTAAACATGATGAAAAGAGATTTCAGGTACTTCTGTGATTAGGTGTAATCAGTAGGTGAACTGTGGAAACTGAGGGGCAGAAAAAGTATCCCTGAATATGGGGGAAGGGCGATGCTACAGAACTGCAGAAAGCAATGGATGTGATGTGGTTTGTAGCATATTTGCAGGGGCAGCAGCGAAGCAACAGTGAGAAGATTCAGCCACAATGCAGGAACAGTAAAAATGCTAGATAGGTGATGCTGTTATCCCAGGTAAACTTATTTACTAAATTGAATTTTCAAAATGGCACTTGTGTTACATTTTTATTCAGAAGTTATGTAAAGCCACCTTACCTCTTGTTCAACTGTTTAGATAAGCAATCTTTAATTAATAAGTAAATCTTGAAAATTATTTTAAAACCATTTTAAAGGTACTGTCAGTAATTTTATCAGTGACAAAGAACATACTGAATTACAGACTTGAGGAATTACAAGATAGTTTACAGATTATTCTCAGAGCGCTGACTCTTACAGTATTGCATGTATTCCAAATAGAGTAGGAGTCATTAACTGGAATTGTTCTTGGCCATCGCTGGTACAAATACCAGTGAAATGACCCTTCTTCTTTGACTATCTACATATTCCCCTTCAAACCTTTCTTCTTATTCTAATCTTTTCTTTTCCCACAGTTATCCACAGTAGGAAGATATGTCAGGGTAGATTTTTCTTCCCTCCTTTTTAAAAGACTGTCATTCTTACATGAAGTGTAGCAATTTAATATGAATGCAGATAATGCTGTAACGGCTTTTTCTTAGTGCCAAGAATTTATGGTGTTTCATGTTGTCACTAGGTGGCGGTATCCTGTTACGGGTGGTAGCAGTATCATTATATTTTAAAATCATCATTAGTTTGGGACTGACTAGTATTTTGAAGGCTCCAGTTTTTTCCTTTTCTTAGAATTATGAATACTTTGCAAAAGTACTTTTCAAAAAAGGAGAAACTAACCTTCTGACAAGACGCGTACATATTCATTTTCCTAAATGATCTTTGGTGTTACCAGATCTGTGCCAGGGGGTATGTTTTCTTTCTATGCGGTGAGGATATTCACAGGGATAAACTTTGATTTAGGGAAGCATGTATCTCTTTGTTTCTTCATAAGTCATTTGAGAGTCATTTTTGCTTTTGTGTTCTTCTCTGTTGACTAATTCTGAAGGATGCATGGGTAGACCAGTGACTACAGGCTAAAGTTAACCTAATAGCTTTCAGATCTATAATCTATATAGCTTGACTGCTAGTTTTTCAGGATATTTACATTCGACAGCTACAGTCATAGCCAGGATCGCAGGTCCCTCTAGTTATCAGTCAGAGTTCTCATCTAGTTATCTGTCAGGGGAACAAAATACTCAATAATGTGATTTTTTTTTTTTTCTGAATAGTAAATATTATTTATCTGTGACTTTGCAGTTCTGCTCCAAGCATCAGCTCCTAAATCTGAAGCCTTTATTTAGCAGACTGAAATTTACATTGATTTTTTTAAATTATTTTTAAGAAATACGCGTGATGTGTTAAAATTATTTATTTAATGTACTATTGCTTGCTTCTGCCATTTGTTTCCCTTTATTGCCCATATAAATGTGCTATTTTTGAACAACCTGGTTTGAAGAATCCTTCACTAGTTTTTTCAGTTTGGCTAGCTTTCTTGCCCTCAGCTCAATGAGAGGATGAACTGTCTCAACATATGACAATTTATAGCACCACAGCTATAAGTCAGTAAGATAATGGGGTTCTGCAAAGTATTATCTATGCACGCCTGAATGTTTTAATTCCAAGCAAGTTTGAAGATAATCCTTGAAGGCATGGTTTCAGATCAAAGAATTCTGCACTGCAAAGAGAGCCTTTTATTGTGTATAGCTGACAACTCTAAGGAAGGAGTTGTACTTCCAGGCCACAAAGGTAGTGAATGGGCTACTATTTGTAAGTGTTTGGGGTTTTGTTTTTTGGAGTTGCTCTTTGTTTAGGCAATGTTTCGGGACCCAACAGAGCATTTCCAAGTAGACAGTACTTGCACTGTTGGGATGATGTATGTGTAACCCAGAGCTTCTTCAAATCCTTGTAACTAGCTTCCGAGCTTGAATTTTGAAGTACTTTCTCATTCTTTGTTAGAGAGCCTCAAATAAGGCTCTGTAAGTGCTCTTCCAATCAGTAGTACATAAATATTTCATCTGTTCCTGACAGCTGTGTGTATTTGAGAGCTGTATGATACATTAAGTGGAAGTCAGTACAGAAAATCTAATTGAGGAAATTATTTTTTTCCTACTAATGAAACTATTATTTGAAAAATTATGTTTTATTATTCAGAATGTGAAATAATTAAAATAAATATGTCCAGGGGATTACCAAAAAAAAAAAGAGGGGGGAGGAATACATAAATACATATATGCATATGTAATTTTTTTTCCCCATTCAAGATAGCTGTTTTTCTTAAATTTTTCTGAGAATAGTTTTGGTGTAAGTTACAGATACTTCATCTCCTGACAAATCCAACAACTTTTGAAAAAAGGCTATCAATGGCAAACTTTTAAAACCATCCATTTGGCTTTTCTTATTTTATAAAGAGGCAAAACATTTTTTGACCGTACCTGGATGATTTGCTGTTGCTGCTAAAACTGCATGACTTAAAATTATTACATGACCAATTTTGAAAGTAAGAAAAAATGGCTTGAGAGGCTTTGCAATATTTCTTGAATAAATTTTGTGTTTTCTTTTGAACAGAACTTCTTGGTATACATAAACAGGCAACAGTAGGTTTTTTGACATTGATGGAATCTCTGAGATATTGTAAGGTAAGCTGTTTTCTACCTAATTTTTCTTTCATTAAGGTGTTGTGGGCTTCTTTGACAGTATTGCTAAAAGTTTTGCTGTGTATGACTGGAGATACTAAAGAACTTACAAAGTATGTTTGAATTAAAACAGAATAATAACATGAAAACAGATATATGATAAAATTGTTAAATGCATCTTACTGAGTAAATGCTGTTTGATGCTATTTAAATTAGAATTTTACTGCACCAATTTAATACAGCTAGGTAGAAGCTTATGTTTTTACTAAAATAATGCTTAATGCAAGTTATGTATATGGTTATGAAACTGTGAAGTCTCAAAGTGGCTTGCTCTTGTGAATGTTGACATTTTATTGTCCTCTTTTTATTTCCATTTAAAATAAATAGCCATGAGTAAAAATGGTAAAACTACTATTAAGTAAATGTATTCTGAATAGACTATATTCAAGACTTAAGTTACTTTATCAATTTATCTGTGAACATCTGAAAGTACAACCTAGTCCACATTGTTTCTTCCTGTTGTGACATAGAGTTTCTTGATTTAAGGCTTTTATTTGAGAAACTTTGTGCTTTACAAATACTACTTTTGAAACAGCATTAATACTTTTAATTTCAAAATGCTTTTTGGTTGGTCTTTGCTTTCTTTTCAATGTCTATTAAATTCCTTTAATTTAGCTCAGGTTTAAAGAGGATTATGTAGTTGGCAGAACTCTGGTATATTGACTGTAAATAACTGTCCATTATTAAATAAATGTAAATTCCAAATTGGTCCATCCCAAACCAGCTAACAAGTCAAGTGTACTTCTACTTCATTTAGCATCTGATTTTAGTATTGTTAAGCATAGGAGTACTTACTCATGTGCAGTGTTTGAAGCATATCTCCAAGGTTGAAGTAAGGGATATTTTTGATACCACAGTCTCACTGATGACTTATTTCAGTTAATTATCATAAGCTATGTTGTTTTCCAAGTCCAACAGGAGTCATTGATAAAAATTAGAATCTAAATTTTTTGTGCTGCTTTGTCACTTTATTGAACATTTTATATTCGTTTTCAGAGCAGTTGGGACTCTACTAAATAAATTGTCATTAACTTGATCACTGACTAGATGAGTTTTCTGTTTGCTTTGTGTTTCTCATTTTGTTACACCTTTTTAGGTTGGTTCCTATTTGAAATCTCCAAAATTTCCCATTTGGATTCTTGGCAGTGAAACACACCTCACAGTCTTTTTTGCCAAGGTATGTTAGATGTGATTTTTGGTAACCTCTGGTAGATAAACACCACATAAATTCAAAGTTCGTATCTTGCTACGATGTGAGTTTCATGTGGCTTTAATGTAAAATTGTAGTCAACAAACCTTTTAATTAAGCCATCCCTTGAAGGCAGAGTTGTTCACATGGTTTAATGATATCTCATAAATTTTAGTGAAGTCTTCTGGTTCTATCTTAATTTATTGGGCTGGGGGAATGGTATGCTTTAGAACACCATAATTGGGATAAGTACTGTCTTAAATTTCTATAGTGTAAGAGAGATATAAAAAGGAAAGTTATGTGTAGGTGCCTATTAGTAGTTTAATCTCCCTGACAGTGCTTTCACAATTTTTAATCTATAACCATAGTTTGTTGTTCTAGATTAAAAATAGATATCAGGACTAATTAAATTTGAAAGATTAAGTTGGGGGGGGGGGGAGGGAAAGTATAGCTTTAATGCTTTCAACCTGCATATGCTTTACAGGAGCCTGAACCATTATGTTTAAACAGAAGAACATCAGGCAATTATTAAGCAGAAGAATAGTAATTTTTGTCATTAGCTGAGTAATTTGGCCTAAAAACCTAGAAAGAAGCAATCTTCCTACACTACTGTCACTATGGACAAGTAGTGTAGGGAAATTAGGAAACAGGACAGAATCTTCATTGCTATCTCAGGGACTTTTCTTGAGCATGGAGGTTCAACAAGCAAAAGGTTTTACTCAAATTCTGCATACCACCCTACACAAAGAAAGTTGGCTGCTGTTCTAAATGAAGCACCAGAGTACTAAAGGGTTTTACATTTGATGTTGAGTACAGCAATAAACATCATTCTCTTAACTGTGGATTGAACAATCATCTACTTTGCTTTTCTATCTCAGAACATTTTGAATTAAATACTATAGACATCTATTGCTGTCTGCCAGAATATATTTGCATTACTCTAAATGTGGACCAATCTGCTGTAGCTGTGACTTTCAGAGAAATGTTTTTCAGTCATACTTTCGAAAATAAATAAATCTGTCCATAGCTGACATTCTAAAACTTTCTACATTTTCACTGGATTTTAATGAATGGGCAAAATGCAACACAGCATCTTTGGGCTGAAGATCACACTTACAGCTAGAAGTGAAGTTAAAAAAAATTAACTCAAGCGTGTAATTGGGCTTAAATTCTCTTGTAACTGCTGCTGCATGAAATAGTCTTAAACAGTGACAGCTGAGTCAATTCCTAGTTTTAATGAAAGTCTACCAGTGAGTCAGCAGTTTCCCCCATTGCTAAAATAACAGGTATTTTATTCTATCTGTATGGTCTTTATCTCCACATCTTGACTATCAAAACTCATTTGGTATGTACAGAAATGCTATTAGCCTCATTTTACTATAACGAATTGGAGGTAGAATGAAATAGCTTAAGAACTAATTTCTTCCTTAAAACAGCAACTTTGAGGCAGATTTTATTGACAAGAATATGAGTACTTTTTCTTCCTGGGAATGACAAGCTGAGACTATTCAGAACTTTTAGGAATGTCAGAGTGTGGTCAGACACTGTATAAAGTAATACCAATGGGTTGAAATGTTATGTGAAATGTAACAAGAAAATGTTTCAGTACCAACAATAGAACAAGAGCAGGTTAATAGCTGCTTTTGTATGTACTGTCTGCTGACATGCAAACTCTCCCATGGTTTGGAAGTTTGAGTGCAGACACTTTGAAAGTGGAAAGACAGCATGGAATGAGTGTCCGGTGACTTCAGGTGATTGAAACTGTGTGTGGGGACACTTCGGAACTGTGTAAGTTTTTCAAAAATTCCCTGAGCCTTTTCCCAGGTGTTGGGAGCACATAGGCCACAAGAGAATTGGCTATCCATTTTCAGTTACAGCATTGTAGTATTTATAGACTTGAAGAATCAGATAAGCAGAGGTAACTCCTGGCTGAGACATCTGAATAAGTTACAAATTACTGCTTTTCAGAGAAAGTGTGCCTGTTCTGCTGTGTTGGGACTCTACTTATGGTTTCGGATTGCATTTTTTTTATTTTTCTAACTTTGATCACTGTACCCTGTTCTACATATTCTCAGGGCCTTTCTTTAGCATCCTTGATAGTATTGTCTCTCAGAATAAAGAACATTCACTTCTCTTCCTTAACAATGTTTTTCATCAAAGTTCAACAGAGGGACACCTGAGCAAACACTGACACTGCTATAGGAGATGCTGAATTTGGGTCAGTGGTGTTTACCAGAACTGGGCTAAGGGGGAGTGTTACTGGGTACAGCATTTAATCTCAGGACACCAACAGAGTGTCAGTGGCCATGAGGGAAAATAAGATGCATGTGTAAAAATTCAACCATTACTAGTATATGTTAACAACTCTGGTCCCTGCAAAAGTAACCTATGTATATCCAAATAAACTATACTTATAGTAACTCTTCTACTTTGGGAAAGTAGTGAAAAATAGCTACACCATTCCTTTTTTTTTTTTTGCTCCCACGACCAGTGAATGCAGGTAATAAAATTTTTTAAAAGTCTTTCTTCATCAGAGAAGAAATCAATCAGATTTTGAAGAATTCCACTTCAGGAAATGGTTACAGAGCATGTGGTTTCAGAGTCTTTAGTTTCCATGAGTAAGTGGAATTGGTTTTGGTTGAGACAGTCTGGATATCTAATAAATTATAGATGTGTGAGGCAACTGCAGAAATAACTTTGGGAGTAAAGTAGGGTTTAAATTTTCAGTGTTCTGATTAAGAGCAGGGAGACAAAGGGTGTTCTGTTCTTGTCAATAGCTCTAACCTGGCTAAATCAGCAGTGAATCTTCAAATACTTCTATCAGCAATTGATTTCAAAGTTCCTTTCTGCAGGAAGAAACCCCTTTTTAAAATGAATGTTAGAGCAGGGTGTTTCCTGTGAGATCTGTGGGCCCCCAAAGAGAACTGAAGTTACTCTACTGGTTGGTTTAAGCTTCATAGTGTAAATGCTATTCTTGAATTAATTTAAATTGTTCTGTATAATGCAGTAGTTCATATGGGTTGCTTTGTCCAAATAAGTTTTCTAGAGCAAAGGCCAACTTTGAGGTCTCATAGTTGGCAAGGGGCACCTCAAAATAAAAATACTTTTGTTGAGGTATCTACCTTATTCTAGCTTTGCAAGATCACAGACCATAACTCTGAAACTTTATTCTGCTCTTTGTGGGTCTTCTCCGGTTTTACTGGTGGGTGAATTTGTTCCTACTACAGATGTGTGTTTCTATGATCAGGTGCTTCTGGGCAGTTTCTTTGTTTATTGTTTGTTTGCGAGGTTTTCCATGGGAAAACTTGTGCTTTATTTATTCATGCAAGGGATTTTCACACCAGCAGTGCAAGGGATTTTTACACCAGCGTTTATCCAAGTAATTCTAGATTTTATCTAAAGTTTTCATTGTAGTAAAAGAGACTTTATATGTGGTGCAGCAGTGTATGGTGGCATATTTGTTTTTAATGAAACAAGTTCATGACATCAATTTATCCAAAGTCACGGTGGCTTTATTTTCTCTGAAGATATGTATTTTAATTTCTTCTTTTTTAATTCCTTCTTTTTTAATTTCTTCTTTTTTCTTTTTCTTTTTTTTTTTTTTTTTTTAAGAAATGTAGTTTTGGCTTTGAATGGAGGTAGCTTTCATGAGAAACTTTAGCCATCGTATGATTTTTGGATTTGGTCAGGAGAAACATTTCTGTCTCATTGTATTTTCCCATTTCCCAGATTTTGGAATGAGCAGCCAACTGTGGTAGCTGCAAGGAAAAATCAGATCTATCTCCTCTTAGTTTTTGATGGTCTGTACTTCTGCTGTACTAAAAGAATTTTTAAATGGAGGAACCAAAGCTCCTCAAAGTGGCTATTCCAACTTTCTACAGGACATGTTCTTTTTCATGTCTTGGTTTGGTAAAGAAGAAAAGGTTGTGAAGAAGCCAGGGATGCCTTCTCCAATCTAAGACGTAAAGAACTAATTCTAGTTTTTCCACCTCCCTGACATCTTTTCAGGCCTACAGAGTGTCTTGAAGAACTCTGGACTTCGAAGAACAGCAGAGATATGCAGATGATAAAGAGAAAATTGAGTGGGAAGATTGAGGTGTACATGTCTGTGGTAGGCGGGGAGGGCTGATCTCTGCAGAGCTAGAAGGTTAGGGCTCATTGATCAGTGTGCCGTGACTTTTATCAAGACCGCAGTACCCATATACGTTGAGGAAATTGCACATGAGAAGTATTAAAGAGCATTCTGCCTTTGTCTTTGAACGCTGGAGAAATTAATCCTTGGGCAGTGGTAGGTATTTTGACAATTTGTGGCAAAAACTCCAAAGTGAGAACATTTAGGAATTAGGTCAAGGTCCTGTAATGCATGTATTGCTTTTGTGAGAAGTGTTGTCTATCCCATAATAATGAGTAGTAATTATGATGACTTACTGCTCAGATCATAAAGAGATAACTCAGTCATGAGGTTTTGTATTATTTGTTCTTAGAGTTGAGGCATAGAAAGTGTAATGTAGAGGTCATTAAATTGAGAGGTGTAAGACTGAATCTTAACCGAGCCAATTATTTGGGATTTACCATCCTAAAAGAATTGTATTCACTGTGTTTACCCCAATTCTCTGACTAAATCCAGCCATTTAGTCATAGCTATATGTTCTCTAAAGTTTTAGAAAATTTTTAACATTCATCCCACTATATGCAGCTTTCACAATGATCATTTAAGGACATTGTTCATGGTTGGCTGATACAGACTATGAAATGTAGTTGTATATGCCCCTAAGCAAATAAGCAAATTACTTCCTTTTGGGAAAATACTTCTCATCCATCTGTTTTCTTTCAGAGGGGGAGTTTCAGTTTTATATATGAAGTAGTTGAGAGTAGGGCTGCTTAGATGATATCGCTTTTCATGTGTTTATATTTGAGTTGTTCCAATTTTTGTGTCGCTGAATTCCTTCTCCTGAAATGTTACATGTTTTGATACCGTTTTGTGCTGA